AATTAAGTTGTTTATATTTTCGACTAATAAAAACTATTGAATTAATTTGAAACTTTGAAGGTAAATTGAATCTAAGACGATTGAAAGAACACATTATGCTATAACTAGAGAGAATGCTACTGGACTTTAAAATTCATATATACTCTATGAAAAACTATATTATTTACTATTTAATTTATTTTAAATAGATTTTTTTTCACATATCTTTATGTAGAACGATACAAGCTCGTATCTCTTATCATCATTCGTATGAAAAATTTTTCTTTTCGTTCTGTCACATGTGAATATATACATCATCGCAGCTGAAGGAACGAAAAAAAATACATAGAGAGAACAACAAAGTCATTCTTGCAGAGAATAGTATTTTAAAAATTTTTGCCTGGGATTACACCATACCCTGAGCTCATATTTTCGGGTGATACTCAGTTTTTTTGCGCTCTTTCTCATGATACCACTCTTGTGAATTGGACTTTTAATCGATTTTTTTCGATCAGTTGGTATGCATTTTGTACAGAATTTCTGAAAGGTTATTGCTGAAAAAAGACAAACGAAATGATACGAAAATAACAGTATAAAGTGTTATTAATTCTACTTGAGAATCGGAATATCCGCTCGATACTTATGGCCGCAAAGGCTTTCTGAAGAGACTGCACTTTCGAAATACATACATTTACTCGTTGATTTCATGCGAAATCTTGTATGTTCAGCACTAGAATAACACTGTAATCTATCGACGTTGTTGTATGGATGAGAATAAAGTACTACATTGTCTATATATGCATCGCGAAATAAGTTGAGCTTTTGTGAATCAATAGAGCATGAAGTATTAGTTATATACTGCATTTATGTCATACAAATATTACCGTCGTTTTGCTTGCTCTGTCTCCTGTCGTTCGCAAAGATTTAAGGACGGCGATGAAGAGTCAGTTGAATATTCGGCAGAATGTGCGCTATAACACGCAGTTGCCTATTCTTTTTACATTCATTACACAGAGGACAAAATATCAAGGTTGTACTGAACCTCGTTTCTCTCTCTCTCAAAAGCATAGTCCTAGTCAAACCTAATCTCAAACGACAATTTCACACATCAGCAAGAGCATCTATTTTTCATTCACGACTGAATCGCATTTTCACTTCAAGCTTCGGTTTTAGACACGGTCATCGTATCCGTTCTGGTTCCAGTAGCATAATCCGAGTAAAATGCTTTTTTTATTTTTATTTTTTATACATGGTTAGATTGAGGTCAACGAACTAAGTAACCATATGTATTTCATTATTTTTTTTTTGATAGCCTTTTGATAAAAAAATCGAGTTTTTTCTATCATCCTAAATGATTAAGTTTTCCTAAAAGTACGTTTTTTAT